TCATTTAAAATTACTACCTCGTTACAGACTAAACTACTACATACAGTTAACCTACACTTTACTTTCTACAAACTTAACTTACACTAACTTGGTCGCATATATATATATATATATATATATATACACACACACATACACACACACACACATATATACTGCTGACTAAGGCCTACAACTTTCTATACACTACAAGATGTTATGAAGTAAAAATGCTCATTTAAAGCAGTGAGAGAAATGTTCGAGTAACATGACATCAATTCAAAACAACTGAATTACACAACAAGTGATTTGTAAACAGTTATATAAGGAAACCTGTGATATAACATAACATGTTTTGGGACAACATGGAACCTATTGGTCCATCTTTGCTGTTCCATCCTCTAAACTAAATTAAAATAATTAATAATTATCATCCATATACTTTTCAAGCTTTCTCTTAAACTCACTTAAATTTACTGCCTCTACAAAATTTGAAGGCAACCCATTCCAAAGACCAACCACCCTGTTAGAAAAATGAAACTGTTTTAGCTGAAGATGGCTCCTACCTTGACAAAATTTATATTTGTGTCCCCTAGTCCTACTATTCTTATTGTTAAATATGAAAAAAAAATGATGCAACAACACTATCAATTCCCATTACAATCTTTAACACCTCAACCAGATCCCCTCTAACTTTTCTTTTTTCCAGAGAAAATAATTTGAGAGATTTCAGCCTATCCTCGTATGATAACCCCTCCATCCCAGGCACCAATCTAGTAACCCTTCTCTGAACCTTTTCAATAAGCCCAAGACTGAACACATTATTCCAAATGTGGTCTAACCAGTGACCTGTACAATGAAATTATAACCTCTTTAGACTGGTATTTAATATTTCTGTAGATACAACCTAAAATCCTATTTGCCCTACCATTAGCAACAGCACACTGCTTGGATGGCTTTACAGACTGATCGACTATTACACCAAGATCCCTTTCCTTCATAACACTGTTAAGGTTATTTCCATCCAAATTATGATAACCCACATGCATTATCGTCACAGCTAGCAACACCCAAGACCTTAATATCATCTGCAAATTTAAGTAATTTATTGACTATTCCTTCATCTATGTGATTGATGTAAATCAAAATGAGCAGAGGTCCTAAGACTGAGTCCTGAGGTACCCCACTTGTGACATTTTCCATTTTGACTGAACTCCACTTGTAACACCCCTCTGCTTTCTTCCATCCAGCCACTCTTCTATCCAATTTGCTAATTTATCCCCCACACCTATAGAGATAATGTTTTTGCAAGCCTCTTATGTGGCACCTTGTTAAATGCTTTCTGAAAATCCAGATACAAAATCTACACCCCTACACTCATCTACATAAGCAGTAACCTTTTCAAAGAATGTTAAAAGATTTGTTAGGCAAGATTTTCCCTTAGTGAAACTATGTTGACTATCCAATAAAATTCTAAACTATTGGTTCTAAAAATAACTTACTTTAACACTGTGCTATGTAAACAATCTAAATCATAAGGTTCATATTAAACTTAAAAATGAAATGAAGCAGTCAGGTATATCCAACATATACTATTAACAGTACTAAATGAGTCAATTTTTACTCTAGTTATTACAGTAAAATTAGGTATATCAAACAGTTTTCAGCCTGTTATGCAGTTAATTGTTTCACTAAAAGGCAATGTCAAAATTTAATTACTAAAACTAAATGCACAGATTTAAAACATTTATGCTAAATTTTAAATTAAGCAAGAGTAATCTGTAACTAATTACCCAACTAATGTTATAATACTTCCTTTAAACTTGGGTTCACTTACAAACAAATGTATAAAGACCTACAACACTGATTTTCTGTAAAAATGGAAGATATTTCAAAGTAACCCAGTAACAAGATTTTTCTTTATATTAAAACAGCTTTATATGAATAATAACAAGATAAAATTGTGGTACAAGCAAAGCAAGGCAAAAATATTTCTCATATTTCACAGGTTTTAGGAAACATAATATTTATTATGTTTACAAATAAAGGATTCAAAACCCTTATTAAAAATGTTTCAAAGGTACAGAACTTAATTGTTTGTTTTGGTACAATGATGCACAACAGGCTATCTGTGCTTTGTATACCAGAAGGAATTTAACCCTGCATTTTACTGTTTTAAATCATAAACTTACCACTGATCTAATGGGGGACTCAAATGTATAGAAACATCTACAATAAGGTCAATACATGTTAATGAGAATCTAGCCCATAAATACTCATTTATACAGAAATACTACTAAAATGTTTCTTCAGTCACTTCAGTTTGCATAATTTGTACACATAAAGGGACATCCAACAAATATTGAAACATAATTGGATAACACTTGTTCACACTAGTTGCCTTTCTCCACCTTGGATGATGTCATACTGAACATACACTTTTCCTCCAAATTTTGTGTTTCTTCAGAATTGGGATTCTTATTTACATAAAGCACAGCTCACATCATGTACTGGAAACTACTAAGAATGGTGCCAACTATAATATCAATAAAACCACCTTTGATCCTTGCTATAACAGAACAGCTAATCTTCACTTACCGCTTGGTAACAATGCAAAAAAACAAAATCCACATATGTATGCATACAATGGTAAACCAGTATTAACATTTACAAATAATGGAACAATGATAGGCCTGGCCACATAAATCTTTATTATAATGATAAAACTGGTTTCCCATCTATCAGTCATTTCTCTCACCGATATAATAAATACCTTCAAAACCTTTTGAGAAAAACTAAAATATTTGAAACTTTCACTTTTCTACTTAATGAAACCCCTCTCTTCAATAAGAAATTATCATCACAGTATTTTCTTTTAAGTGTAATGCTATTTATGCTGCTAAAAGTACAAAGTTACCATTATCGATACAACTGTACTACTTTCAAATACATCACATATTCTGGCTGTATGGGAAGAAAGCATTGTGCTACTATAAATAGATTAACACGTTTACTGCTGTGATGCTTGACAACTTCTATAGCAAGTGCTGATAGGAGTTTAGGTGCAATACAATTGTGTTTTCAATAAATCAATAGCAATAATAGCAAATATAAAACATGAAATCTTTATATATTTTTTATTTACAATGCGCATCATGAGCACTCACAAACAAATGTTAAATGCACACATATGCATCCTCAGTAGTGTGAATGTGTTAAGTGGCAAGAGAGTTCAATTGCCAATATCAATGATTTTGCATTGATTTACTGGATGATCCAGATAAAGATGGCATTCCACAAAAATCTCCAGATTTTTCATATGACTGTATACATCAGTGTCAAAGCACTGTATGAATTTTACTTACCACGTGTTGAAACAATTACAAAATTATAAAGTTTATGCTTTAAGGATTATCTCTTGAATGTGTTGTATAATTTTCAAATTCTGGATTTTCCACCTGTCTGTATGTATATGTTACAAGTATCATAAACAGTAATAGCAATGCATTCATTTGACTTACTACCTACTGAAACAATCACATAATTATAACATTTATGCTTAAGATTATCTCATTTTTTATTAAGCTGTATAGCAGGCATGTGCAATTTCCTCAAGGGCATGGGCCAGATATCAATTTTTAAATGTACTTGCAGACCACACCATATGAAGCAAAAATAAAATTTAAAAAGACAGTGATTTCCTTGTACTTTAACTCTTTACAGCACGGTCTCGAATCTCGGACCAACCTTGTAACCATTTTGTGCTTTTATATTCTAGCTTATTAATATTGGTAATCACATAAAAATCGGTTTGTTTTTTTAATACTTACTTTTAAATTAAGAGATCAAATAATGTATAATACTAAAATTTGAATTATGATATCTACAGTTTGATACCAAAGTTATTGATATAAATTCATAAAATAGTAGTTCAATAAAATTTTGAATGCAAGTCAAAAAAACATGATGACATGGCCTTTGACCCATGTGGAATGGGTTAAGAACTCTTTGTGGCCCAGATAAAACTACCTTGCAGTCTGTATATTGCACATGGCAGCTGTATAGCTTGCATTTAATTACAAAACTTCAGAACCATGTTTGAAAACTTAGAAATTCCCATTAACATTTATTTTCATTTTCAATTATTTCCATCAAGTCCTACTGCTGTAATAGTAGCTTATATTGAAAAAACAACAACTCATAAACATAGAGTTACATGTTTATGTTAAACAACAACAACAAAAATACAGAATCAAAAACCATACCCTTCTATAGTGAAAAATGCCTGCCAGATGCTTGTGCTGCCATCTTGTGATAGTATTTTCCGTTCTATTCCAACTACCTCCACCTCTTTACCTGCAACTATCCTCTCTTCTTTGGAAAGTGGAGTCTACACATTGCAAAATGAGGTCCATGAGCTTAACTTCAAAGCCAATCATAAGCACAACTACTTATGAACTTATTTAAATAAAATTAAAAACTTTTATTTACAATATCTTATTTTTATATGTTTAGTCAAAAACATTTTTTTCCACACCCACAAATCATTAACAATTAAATTTACAAATACAAAATGTAGTTTACTTACATACTAATATAGACTTCTTTGAAAAATGAGTGATTTAACAACATGGAAATGTATAAAGCAGTTCTACTGGACCTTCTAATGTTTGATCTGGACAATTAACTTATGTTTCTGATTATTACTGTTTTTGATTACTCTAACTATCCAAACAATCACAATACTGCCATTATGATTTCTCATCATATTTTGAATAATCGTAGTTTCATTAATTTTGAGCTGACATAACCTGGTAATCAGCAGTTTTCAATAATTTTGTTTCTAGGAGGCTTGCAAAGCATTTGATGAGGCCTAAGCCATGCTGAAGGCATGAAGCACAATGTAGGGTGGTCTGAGGGTATGCCCTCTATGAATTTTTAAATATTATATGCAAAATCCTGCATTCTGAGTAATTTTGCTTTTTGACCTTGATATATATCCATGCCAAAATGTCACTTTTCTCTAGATCATTGACTATTTATTGATTTTGATGCATTCTGAAAGTTGAAGTGATAAACGCCTTATATGAAGCAATGATGTTTTGCACAAAACTCAAATTCATATCTATACATGCATGGTCAGAAAGCAAAATGTCGTAAAGAAATAACATTCAATTTTTATAAGCTTAGATGATCTTACTTGGCCACTGAAATAAATAAAAGGTGTTCACAGCTGTTTCAGAGATAATTAACAGTTTTCCGTATGAAAAGAAATATTACATATGCTGATATAATCATCCATTTTACACAAGCAGAGATTAATTGAACAACACTTACTTCATCCACAAATTATTGAAGTACCTTATAATACCAAAAAAAAAAGATGATAGACATGAACATGTGTTTGAAAAGTTTTGACCCTGGAATGCCAGGGTGGAGTCACTATGGTCCCATACAAGTTAAAACCTGTATACTAAACTAACCACACTGGTGTTCTAGGATGAAAGTAATGATTATTACCTAAATACTAAGAACAAAATGCTGTTTATAAAATATGGTACTTGAAGCATTTTCAGAAGGTTTCCAGGATCTGCATCACAAATGTATACATTGTACTTTATAGGTTATTTGCTTGTGAGGACCAAATTTGATATTTTGATTTGAATCTCATAATGCAGTTGTATTCTGTTATATCAAAAATGGACTCCATTCATGCACATGCATCTGAATAGTGAAGCTAAAAAAGGGACAGGAGCAGGTTATTGAGCATACGTTTTGTTGCAGATACATCTCATTATAAGCTCAACTGCCCTTGGTATGCATGAAAAAATGAAACACTAGGGAAAAATTCAAAGCATTTTTCTTTAGTGTTGGTCTGAAGAAGTCTGTGACAAATTGTTGACCCTTTTTATCTTCATTTTTTCTCTTTGTTTTCAGCTCCATGCTGCAATTTGATTGTGATTATATAAAAACTTGTAAGAACAACATGTTTTCCTGAAAAAGATCCACTTTCACTGACCAACAAATTTATAATTAGAGATCATGCCAAATTTGCATTAGTTTGGACACAAATGTAATCCTCAATACACAATTCCTGTTGTTAATTGACAGTCACAGGAGAAAATGTTGAATACATAATTTTTATTTAGCCAAAATCACCTGTGCTTCTCTGTGAAAGATAAATTAGATAATACAAAGTCTATAGCAGAAATACCTAAACTATTCTGAAAAGTTTTGAACCCTGTGTATTTTGTTTCATTTCAATAGCCTACAAAGATTGGGGCTGAGCCAAAACTACAACCAGATGAAGTTTTTACTAGTTTTAGAATAGGAATTTCTGTTATAAGTTTAAAATCTGCAATAACTATAGGTATTTTTTAAATAAATTTCTTGTTTTTTTCTGATTTTTTTAAAATATAATTTTAGAAGTTGAACTGACCCATAAATTTGGAAACTGCCATTTTGGCTGCTGGACAGTTCTTAATGAAAACCTTGATTAGGGAGTGTTTGCCTTATGATTTGAGAGTCTCGAGTTATATTCCTGTTGCCACTACAGTACTTCCCCTTTCATTATATTTGTTTTTGAGTTATGGCAAAGTTACTAGAGCTACCTACCACCATTCCTAACTTAGAAATACTAACCAAAGGAAGCGTAACCAATCAAAATCATTGACTGTCAATTCTTGTGCTACTTAAATGTTAAGAAAAGTGCAAATTTACTGTTTTTTTTTTAAAATGTGTTGTTTCTAATCTATAATTGCATACCTGTACTCTTTTTGAATAAGATATAAAATCACTGATCTTACATTGTGTTACTTTGTAATTTATAATCTGGATAACTATTTTCTCTAGTGTTAAATAACTATAAGTTTATTTTTATACATTGTGTATGTTTAAGGATTTGTAACACCATAACACCACACCTCTTACTATCCTGAATTAGTGTCTTGGTGGAAGTTGTTGCAGGCAATTCTTTGATCAAAGGACAAACACTCAAAACCCAGTATTCTTTATTCATTTAGCCATTCCAACCCTTTAACCACATGATAAATTACAAATGTAAATGTAGTAATAAATTTTTAGTAAATAATAAATAAAAACAGCATTTAAATTTGCAAATGTCAACCATTTTATTAAGAACAAAAAATGTCAAATAAATTTTCTTCTAAACTGTACTTTACAATGTATAAAATAATATAAAAAATATTTTGGGATTTATTTTGCAAATAGTATTATTAAACTTTGTTGCCTACAGAATTGTAATGGACAGTGCCTTAGGGCTAGTTATTGGAGTTTCGACTATACTGTCGATTACACCAAATTTATTTAATTGAAGATTGCAGTGGCAAATGGAGATCACAAATCACTAACTCTAGGAGATTTATGTTTAGTCTAAAGAAACTGATCCTGAGACTGATATTCAACACAATACATCAAGTTTATTTAAGTTTCTTAACATGAAATAAACTTCTCCAATCATTTGTTAACTCTTCAAAAAAGGGGATGTTTAGGTTAACAACACTGATAATTATAACTCATATATAACATCAAGTTTCTTAACTTTCATATGATTCTTTAGAATCCATCCAAATTCACATTAACTGATTAAGAGAGAAATAGTTTCATTACTCACAACACAGTTGGCCTGATAAAACGTTGAAGCTGGAACACTTTCATGTTCATAGTTTCTGGATTATCAGCAACTCTGGGGAGAATCTCAATTCTTTTTGGAGAGAACTGATTTTTAGCTCCAGACACAAGTTTTTAAACCATATTTTCTTTGTATTCTTTTGACTTTCCAAATAGTATTCCTAACTACCTGCAAGTAGTTCCAACACTTTATTGGTCAATCTGTGTAACTCCCTGGGCTAATCTAAAACAAGAACCAAGACTCTCGAGTAATTGGTTAATGTGATGGTGAGTGCTCCAGTTTCCATTTTACTTGTACTATTATACTGGTCTGGAGTAACAGATCTAGCATCAAAGTGCCAATTTGAGATGTTATCATAAACGTTTTAGTAGCCTTTACTGTACTACTAACTCGACGTCAGTAGCTTATCACTGTCAAACTTATGGTTAGCATTTTTCTCAATATCTCTATTGTAACTTCATTTTTATAACTCTTAACTTGTGATTCTCAATAACCAGCCTGCTGTACTTTCCTAGCTCTTGACCTTATTTCATAACACAGGCATTATTTACTTATGCCATTTCTTCATGTATATGTTCACTTAGAAAACTCACAAAATCATTATAACTTCTTTCTTAAACTCTTTTTAAATCCTAAAATACTGAATTAATTGTAAAATTCACTCAAAAATACCCAATTGCTTCAGAATTATTGTTTGGAAAACTGGAGTTTATATTATCTTGCAAATAATATTACATTATTAAACGTTTAAATTATACAATTCAAAAAAGTTGTTTTCTTTCACTACAACTTAGACTTTAAAGGTTCAGCAAGACCACAAAAACAAATAAGTTGCAATCTTTATATTATGAATTTAGTTTAGGTAAATTAAGAATTTTATTAATTTGAATTTTGGTAGTTTGTATTAAACATGTATAATTGATGTAAATAAGGCCGGGTGTACGTAAATGCGCCGTAATTCCATAAATTACTTAAATTTTATTAAGAATTAAAGAAATTAACATTTTTGGGCGATTGCAATATGTTTCCAACATGGCCGATTTTAACATAAGAAAAATTGTTAAAAAACACAGAAAAATCAAAAACTGTCTATATCACTCTTTGGCACCTATAAAAAGGCATATTTTTACCAAATCCCATTTAAGTTGATTAACATACATATGAAGTGTTCACAAAAACCCCAAATTGTGCTTTCCTCACTAAAAAATAAAGCAAAAGACAGAAATTCCACAATTGTCTATATCTTTGTTTGGGACTTGCAAAGAGTATCTTTATACTAAATTCAATGTAAGTTGGTCAAAACAAGGCTAAATAATTCACCAAAACCCTTAAAATTATGGATTAACTTTTTGACCCCCCTAAAAAGACCAAAACGGGCCATGTCCCACATTTTTGTATGTATATGAATGGGACCTGTTAAAAAAAGTATCTTTGTACAATGTAAAATGGCTGAAACACAGCAGAATAATTATAATAAAGCCCATTAATTATGCTTTTTATGGCATCTTGACCCCCTTACTTGTCAATGTATGGGACCTATAGAAAAGTATCTTTGTACCAAATCCCCTGGAAATTGGTCAAAATATGGTTGAATA